CCTAGGCCTTCCTGCTCCTCTGATGCTGCTTGGCCTGCTGTGTTCATCCAGCTCTACACCTTGTCTAAATGAGTTACTAGGTTATATCAAGAGCTACTACTTTCTCATGCAGAAGAGTCTGGAATAAAGAGGTATAAACCCTACAATTAAATATCACAGATGATGTCAGGAAACACCTCCTCACACAAAGCTGAATAGAAAGCTGGAACTTTCTCTCCCAAATAAACAATTCATACAAGGGATTAATTGGTGCTGTTAGAACTATGATTGACAGATAGTTGTTCAACATAGAGTATTAAAAAGCTTTGGATCCAAGGCTGGTACACAGAATTGAGATACAGTTCAGTTGCGATCTAATTAAATGGCAGAGCAGGCTTGAAGGGCTGAAAGCAACAAGAGGAGGCCAATGTCGGGGCCCACATGCCTTCGAGAATCAGAATAAATGTCAATGTTTACTCAGTCCCTTCTCTTCCTCCAGTTTCGATCTTCTCCCTTTCTCATCCTCTATTACAGAGCAGAGGACAAACCTTCATTCAACTCCTGACTGATCATTGAAACCAATCTCTGTCATCTCATGGTCTCTGTTCTCCAATTGGGCTCTGACAGTGTTCCACCATGGCGACTATACCTTCAGATGCCTAGGTTGTAAGTCATAGAGTCGAAGAATCTGCCCAAGTAATTCAGTGTCAAAATTGTTTGGCAATAGAAAGAACCTTGGATCATTTTAGGTGTTATCTAATATGAATTGTTGCTGTAGAAGGTTTGATGGAAACCCATTGGAAAGCCTCCTAATTCTGACCAGATGACGTTTCGTTTTGATATCTATGCACTAATATTCTCCATTTCTCCTTCCCCTACAGAACCGTACATTCAGTCCCGCTTTTACCGCTCACCTGAGATTCTCCTTGGCCTTCCCTTCTGCGAGAAGGTGGACATGTGGTCCCTGGGCTGCGTGATGGCAGAACTGCACCTGGGCTGGCCCCTTTACCCTGGCAACAGTGAGTACGACCAGATCAGGTACATTGTTGAGACACAAGGGCTGCCCAAGGACCACCTCCTGAATGCAGCCACCAAGGCCAACCACTTCTTCAGAAGGAACCCCCGGCAGCACTCCGCCCATCAGTGGCAGCTCAAGTGCGCCACTGACTACCAGGCCGAGACCATGGTCCAACCACTGGAGAGACGAAAATATGTGCTAAAGTCCTTGGACCAACTGGAGACTATTAACATCACCAAGACCGTCTTCCCAGATGATGAGGTCATTGCTGAGTTTCACGATCGCAAAAATATGGTGGAGCTCATCAAAAGAATGCTTACCTTGGACTCCCACGAGCGTATCACACCCAGTGCAGCGCTGAAGCATCCCTTTGTCACTATTCAGCAGCTCAAAATGACCCACGAACACACCAGATATTACGACCTATCAATCCAAGGCCTCAACGCGGCTCTGAACTGTGACAGGAGGGTGCTGGCTGACCACCATTACTACAACACGGCCGACGAGGTCTACTACCCAAACTCTGATTACTACGAGTGCCGGCAGTCCCACCACATCCCCAGCATCAGCTCAATGCAGAGGGCCATTGACAAGATGGACAGCTTGACCATTGAGGAGCCGGGAGCCCTGAGCATGTGGCCTGATGGAGCAGGGAATGCGGGCTACCAGCCTTCCACCTCAAAGGCAGGCAGTTCCACTTGCCTACCCCATTCGTACCATCAGGGTGCTTGCTGTAGGGCCAGCCATCCTTCACATCGGCACAGGAAAGAGCCTGCCATGGGCTATTACACCAACCGATGTGGAATGAAGCAGCGGAAGGCTCCTCACCATTCCCAGTCAGATCCGAGCTTTGGGAATGTGATTCTGCTGGGGCAGGAACCTTCTACAGAGGCTATCAACTGGGAGGAGGAAGAAACAGAGGCCATCTTCTCCACAGCCTCGTCATCAGCCCAGGAGGCAGACCGGCCCGAGGAGCTGCTGGCAACCAAACAGCCTTCAGGTCCTGAGGTAAACCCGGTGAAAGCACATGGCAATCGTGGGGTGCTGCCAGGGTGTTCAGGCAGCAACCAGCTCTACAAACGGTTAATCGAGTACTTTATTGGCAAAGGTGCAGCGGGTAAATACTGCAAAATTCAGCGGATGTTTGGGTTTGGAAAAAATGAAACTGGGACTAAAGTTTTCAGGGTTTTTGCTTGTTTCTTCGCTGGGCAACAGGAGTGGGCAGTGAACACAATGGCATTAGTACAGTGACAATGCTACAGTGGTTCAGAATACGTTAGCATTAGCTCAGGGTGTGGACCAGAGGTATAATGACCAGTCTGGTATTAATACACAATTGGCATCAGACTGGGTAAAGGACCCACTAATTCTAATCCTGGATGGGTACCCACCTGGGTAATGGACATACTGACATTAATACACAACTGGTACCAGACTGGGAAATAAACACTGGCATTAATATAGAATTGAAATTGGACTGCATAGCAAACAAAATGAAACTAATATAGGGCTGGTACTATACACTGGTATTGACAAGACTACTAAGCACAATCATATTAATACTGGACGAGCATCTGAGCACACTGGCACTAATACTGGACTAGTGCCAGAGTGGATAATGGACACACTGTCCCTAATACTGACTGGTACCAGACTGGATAATGGTCACACTGGCTCGAATACTGGACTGGTGGCAACTGGATAATAGTCATATAGCACGGAAACAGATCCTTCAGTGGACATCACAGCACCCTTCATCTCACTGTATCAGTCCATCTTCAAATAGTTTGAGTCTAATTTACACCTCAACCCTATTCCCCCATGTTTGACCCATATCCTTCACACCTCCAACCAACATGTCTGAACCATGCAGTTTTCAGCAGCCCAAAAAACAGCCACACCTCTTCAGGAGAGAAATGTTTTATCAGTTCTGTCAGTCATTGTCTGAAAAAAAAATCACCTGCAGCAAGATTATTCTTTCTTGTTCGGGATCAGGAGCTTCCCTGTAAATCTTTTCATTATTTTAAGCACCTAAACCAGGCCATCCTTCAACCTTTTAAACTCAGGTTTCTGTAATAGTTCTTTTTTATGATTTGACTCTTTAAACTCTGCTATCAATTTGGTCAATCTGCAGTGTTCCCCTTCCACAGCTAATAAAACCTTTCCGACATATGGGCCCAGAATCAAACATGTGAACAGTAGGAAATAGCAGGAGTAGGCCAATCAGTCCTTCAAACCTGCTCCACCATTCAATCAAGTCATTGTTGACCTTCCACCTCAGTATAATTCTTGCTGAATAAACAAAACTCCCTACAGTTAAACAGCCCCTTTGTATTCTGCTCCTTTGTGATAAAGATCAACATTTCATGACTTTCTCTGAATACGTGCATGAGGTATTACTGTGTTATTTACAGACATATAAAACATTTTGTTCTTCCACAGCATTTGCAATTAAGAAACCATTTCCCGAAATGTTCAATGGCATGAGATGTTTGGAATTGGATACCTCATTTATCTATGTTTGAAAGAAACTCTGGTTGCTTATTGTTCAAACCAGACAATAGGGGATTCAGCAATCGTAGGGCACTCAGACCCTCAAGCTTTTTTTAAAAATCATCCAGGGCACGTGAATTTTGCTGGCCAGAATTTTCTGCCCAAACCTTGGAGAAGATGGTAGTGAGCTGCCTTCTTGAATCATCGCAGTCCATGGGATGCAGGTACATCAACAGTGCTGTTAGGGAGGGAGATCCAGGTGTTTAACCCAATGACACTGAATAAATGATATATTTCCAAGTCAGGATTATGTGTGGTTTGGATTGGTACTTGCAGGTGGTGGTGATCCCATGTTTCTGCTGCCCTTGACTAAGTCATGGGTTTGGAAGGTGTTATTGTTGAAGGAGTCTTGGTGAGTTGTTGCAATGTAGCTTGTAAATAATATACCCTGCTGCCACTATACCTCAGTGGTGCAGAGTGAATGTCCCCAACATGCTCTCCAGTGTAATGAATAAACTTGTTACTCCACAAATTCCTACACACCACAGTCTGACACAAAAATCAGTCTCCATATCTCAGTCTAGACTCTATAACTACTTCTTATTTCTCATAACATTAACTTTACAAAGCACAAACAACTTTAACACTTTAAATACTTCATCTCAAGCTTGCAACTAAAGGGACTGGAAGTGTAACCTGAGGTTTGTACACATGGATGGCCCAAAGATCATGAAGCAAAGGTTCTTTATGATGATCTGATGCCCATGGAATTAACATTAATTTCCCTTCATGTTTAACAAGGAATTATCCACAGAATGAAGGCTGCGTGTTACAATGGGTTCAGGAATCTTTTGTTTTTGGGGGAAGGTGGTCTCATGGGGAGGAGTGGGCACATTTTTATAAACAAGCGGTCCATTCAATTATTCCAGCTGCCTTGCCTTCCTTCACTGTTGCCACCATATGTTAGAAGTTCCATTGCAAAAATGAAAACTAGCACTTCCTATCCCATGAACCAAATTCTGAATTGCACTAATGCCCAAACTTCTGCACTCCATTTCCAACATGCTCCTTTTAAAATCACTGTGTATTGAGCACTCTGATAGATCCCAAGCAATTGTACTTTGAGAAGGTTTCTGTAAAGTTGACTCCATGTTCTAATTAGGATAGTCATGACAACAAAAAGCTAATAAGAACCGTTCCATTCTTCATCCCTTAAACACCATGATGAGTGGAATGTCCATCTCCTCAATAATTATTTACTTTGTCAAAACATTACCAACATCACTGCACATTTCAAACAGGGTTGTGTAAATCAAATAACTTGATTTGATTTAATATTTGATTTACCCTTGGGTCTTGATGATTTGTGGGAAATCCCTCAAGATGAAATTAGCTATAAATCAATGCGTGTAAATATTTTATGGCTGCCTCAGCCATTTTCAAATGAGTTGGGAGCCTAGGCGAGGCATCACAAACCTCAGCTGGGAGTCGGGCTGAGTGTTCTTGTATTGAGTGTGGAGGCTGCTAAGTAAAAGGTCTGCCTTGGGGCCTCCATACTTCAGCCTTACACCTACATTGCAAACTCCCCAGTACCCCCATTGGCAGACCTTTAGACTTTATGCTGAGATAAAATAAAGTTCTAAGGCTGTAAGTTTGCCCTCCTTGAGGTGGTGAGAAAAGGAAATAACAGGGCAAATTGTTCCATGCTCCATCCACCTGTCGATAAAGACCAGTATTTCATTTATCTTCCTAGTCAAGCAAGTACATGAGTGACTTTCTCAATTCACCAATTAAGGCCCCAGAAGTGGTCGATTAAGTGGAACAGTAAGGGGGAAAAAGAATATAATTGGGTCATTTTCAGGTTGGCAAGCTGTAACTAGTGGAGCATGCCACAGTGATCAGTTCTGGTGCCTCAATTATTTATGATCAATAGTAATGGCTTGGGACTACTTGAATTGTGGCCAAGTTTGCTGATAATGCAAAGACTGGTTGGAAATCAAATTTGAAGACAATACATAGAGATACATATAGGTTAAGTGAGTGGGCAAAATAACAGCAAATGGACTGTAATGTGAAAAAATGTGCAGTTGTTCACTTTGATTAAAAGAATGGAAAGACAAACTTTTATCTGAGAATTTCCCAACTGAGAATTTGTAGTGATCTGTGGAAGGGGATGGGGGCCTCAAAAATTGCCCCAATCCAAGGCCAATCGGAGGAATGAATGGGGGAGCAATGTGGTAGCCTCTGAAAACCCCCATCCTTACCTTCATGCTCTCTGACCACCCTCTACCCGTGACTCCCACCCCACAAGATAAAAAGTATTTACCTTCTGGTTGCGGGATTGCTGGGTTTGAAATTTCAGATAACAATCCTCTGCTAGGAGACAGTAGTCTTAATTTCCATCTTAAGTGGGAATCCTGAAATTGCACCCCTAGTTCTAGCTTCCCCAACCCCCATACCCAACACAGAGAAACATCTTCTCACCATCTCCACTTTAAGCTCCCTCAAAATTTTAAATTTCAATCAGATCATCCTTTGTTCTTTTAAAATCTAAAGGGTATAGGCCAACTTTCTCAACAAAGCAAACCCTGCATCCCAGAAGTCAACTGAGTGAACCTTCACTGATCTGCTTTCAGTATAAGTATGTCCTTACTTAAGTAGTGAACAAAACTGTACATGGCACTCACAGAGTAATCTCACCTTCACCTTTGGAGTTGCAGGATTTCCCCACTTACATGCTCCTTCCACCTTTTGACACATGCCAATATTTCATTTATCTTCCTAATTACTAACTTTTTAAATGAGATTCTTGTACAAGGAGAGCTAAATCTTCCATGCCTCAGATTCTGTAATATCTCTCCTGTTAGATAAAAGTTTGGCTTTCCATTCTTTTAATCAAAGTGAACAACTGCACATTTTTTCACATTACACTCCATTTGCTGTTATTTTGCCCACTCACTTAACCTATATGTATCTCTATGTATTGTCTTCAAATTTGATTTCCAACCAGTCTTTGCATTATCAGCAAACTTGGCCACAATTCAAGTAGTCCCAAGCCATTACTATTGATCATAAATAATTGATGCACTAGAACTGATCACTGTGGCATGCTCCACTAGTTACAGTTTGCCAACCTGAAAATGACCCAATTATATTCTTTTCCCCCTTAATGTTTCACATTTGATGTACATCCCCAATTGTCCTTGATCCAAGTGTCTTGCTTGGCCATTTAAGAGTCAAATACATTGCTGAGAGTCTGGAATCACATGCCAGACCAGGTAAGGATAGTAGATTTCCTGCTGTAAAGGACTTTAATGAACCAGATGGATTTTTACAATTGATGGTGCACTATTACTCGAACTAGTTCCAGATTTATTGTCTGAGTTTATATTCCAGCAGCTATCACAGTGGGGTTTGAACTCCAATCCCCAGAGCACCAGCTTAGACTTCTCAATGACTAGCCCAGATTATTAGTTCAGAAAGATTATCACTTTGCCATCACCTCCCCTCACCGAATGCCTTGTTGAAATCCTAATACACGATATCTACCAGTTCTTCTTAATTCACCCTCCTAGTTATATCCTCAAACAACTAATTAATCTGTACAGCACAATTTCCTTTTCATTGAATCATGGTGATGGGGCAGCATATTAGTTCAGTGGTTACCACTGCTGCCAGGGAACCAGGTTCAATTCCAGCCTTGGGTGACTGCCAGTGTGGAATTTGCATGTTTGCCCCTTGACTGCATGGGTTTACAT